AAATTGGGTGTCTCCTGAGTACCTACTACGTGCAGAACACTGCGTGGTGCAGTGGAGGATTAGAAAAACAGACCAACAGAACAGACAACAAGGTCCCTGTCTTCATTTCCATGCGGGAAAGAAGCCATCATCATATGAAATATTAAATAGAATCCCTGGAAGGGGCCTCAGTAATATTCTGGTTCTCCCCCCCAACCCCTACAATAATGTAAGCTTTAGAGGACAGTATAAAACATGGCACAATAAGCTATGTGAAAATGGCCAATGGTCATAGCTAATATTTTCAGCGCACTTATTTGTACCAGGACCTTTGTTAACTACTTTGAATTATCTCATTTAAATTGAGATACTCTTACTATGGACATTTTACACACAAGGAAATGGAGGCTGTTTCTGGGAGGTCCCCCATTTAGTAAGCATTCACACCAGGCAGTCTGACCCAGAATCACTATGCTCAGAGCTAGAAAGTGCTTAGAGTGAGCACAGGGTTGGGTTGGGAACGTGTAGAATCCTCGCACAGAAACTCAAGAAACACAGCCTTCTTAGGAGGTTAGAGAACTCTCTAGAGCTAGATTTTCTGTGGATGTCATCTGACAGCGTGTAGCCTCTGTTTGCCTCTCTCTCACCACTCCCAGAATAATGGGCGTTTGTGAGAAAGCCAGACACCAGCCAATGACAATTGTCACATCACTTTCTTCACTTTCCCAGCACTCCAAACGAATGCAAAACCAAAATTCTAAATAACAACATACAAAGGCAATATACCACCGCTTCTACCACCGCCGCCACCACCATGTTGGTGGAATACATGAAAAGTCATCATTTTCTTGAAAACTCTTTGTAAGCAAGCTGAAGAGAAAGCTCCCTAACAATAGAAATGGGATGTGGCGTACGCCATCGCTGTCCTTGGGTAATGACTGTGCGTCATAAATAGGATATGGCATTTCTGAATGTCTTTAAAGCTATTTCCTTTTGTTCAACTAATTTAATTTACCAAATGCTCCTGGGGAAAGGGAGGGGGATCAAGATGCTGATTCCACATTTCCTGAAAAATCAACATTTTCTTTTTAAGCTGCTCTCAAAGAAATTACATCTGATTGTTGTCTGCTGGCTCCCTCAAACTCTACCTCTGTCAAAATTCTGCCCCGGCAGGTGTGAGAAAGAATAGATGCAGAACTTGAGTGAATACCCACATCTGTTTTTGGAAAAAGGGAACAGAAGCAGCACAGAAGGAAGTAAAAGAGATAATTGCTGGCTTGAACTACAATACATTTTACATGTGGGCAGAGGGCCAGCTTACAGCAGGCGGAATATGCAGGCCCATCTTATTGGAATTCAGGGGTGGGCCTCCATTCTTGTCCGGAGACAGCTGTAAACCAGCAGCCCATAGCATCCCAATCAGGCACCGAGTTTTGTCAAGGAATGCTGATATGTACAGAAGCAGCTTTGTCTGCTTCAACTGCACCCCTGCCTAGTGAAATGACAGTCAATCTCTGATTCCAGATGACAAGAACTGGATAAAAACTTAAAACAAATGGCGACCTTTCAAAAGATTAATTTGTTTACCAACAAAATGTTCCCTCTTTGTCATCTGAGATGGGGGTGACCTTCACTTTCCCATATCTAGGCTGAAAGGATGCTGACTATAGTCATCTGTTAAGTTAACTCCATCTCAGCAATTATTCCCTTTTTTATTTTTAGTGACAAGAAGGGTTTATTAATTCACTCGGCTTCTTGTTATGGTTTATAAATGCAACAAGCTCATTCTGAATTACTGCAGTGTAACATCAATTTGTTTAAATCTAATTCTGCTACCGTTGCCAAATTATGTTGTGACTGTAATTGTGGCCATATGCATGGGCTTAAAACACAATTGTGTTTTGAAGTCGTCCTTCTTTCTCCCCCCTCCTTCTCCCCGCCCCTTACTCCTGGTGCTTCTTCTAATCATTTGACATTAACACAATTGCCTCACTTTCCATTACTTTATCACTGCAGAAATGGATGCTCTTTCAGTGAGAGAGATTACTGTGTACACCCCAAGTGACACCGTAAAGAATGAAACCATGATTTGTGAAGTGTGGTTGCTACCCAACTAAGTTAGTGAAAAACACTGCATAACGTATGACTCATAAAATCTAGAAATCATAATAGTATTAAATTCAACCTCATGAATAAGTAAAGGATTCTAAGTTTACGTTGCATTATATATTTATTTATTTGGAAAGTGGGACCAAAGAACTGGTATAATTCTGCAGCAACTCATATCTTGTCAAAAAGAAAAATGTTTTTATGATTCTTTTCTAGGTCATAACAGTTATAATCAGAGTTATTTGTGCCGCAATTCAAAGCAATGTTTTCTTTGGCTATTTTGTTATGCATTCATAATCGTTCTTTTAAAATTCATGTTAACAGATACATGTTTCAAGCCTTTTAAGAAACACTTTTTATTTAAAAAAAATAAATCAAAGTCAGATTTTCTGTAGGCCTTTTAATGTGTTGCACTAGAAAGTCTGACTGGAGCCAAATGTCAGTGAGGAAGTATGAAAAGTACCAGAGATTTCTTCTCACCTCCCTACACCTCTAAGGCCCTACTCACAAACCTGTGAGAGAGTTTTGTTTTTTGCATTATTTGGCAGATTTAAGATACTGAAAAAACAGTCGATGAATTTCACTTTTAATACTTTTTCGTAAATTGATTTTACATAACAGAGTTACAGGACATAACATTCGGAAGGCAATTTTGTGATGTGTGTGTGAGTGTGTACGTGTGTGTGTGTGTCTGGAGTGTGTTTTCAATGCACTAAAATCTTTGCATCGGCCCCTTATTAGCAGGAAGGATACACCTCTTCACAAAATGGAGAAAATACCAGTTTCTAGGAACTAATAATGTAAACTAGTTACATACTCAAATGCGCTCTGTCAAAGTGTCTCAGATTATTTACAGGCTTTTGACAAGCTGTTCAAGTTTCAGAAGAAGTAAGGAAACACATGGCCCTCGGCAGCCAAATAATAACCCCCTCTGAGTGTTTGGAGTTGTTCTAGAAAGCGATTAGCCTTGATGCGGCTTCTCTAATTAACCATGCATCACAATGCTAGACACGGTGCTGCAGCTTAGGGAAGTGCTTTCAAAAACATTTTTTATACGTGGTAAGTCTCAACCGTATTTATTCCCAAATGCTCCGCATGACTGTTGAAAACCAAACACCTGAATATTTCTTTCACAGGACTTTTTGCACCATGCTTCACAATGTTTTGTAAATCCCAAATGGAAATGCCAGTTTTCAGTTAGTGCCCTCACATACCTGTACATCAACATAAAATGATACGGTCAACTATTTTGATCGAAATGCCAGTAGTCAGTTTGAGCAAAATGTACATCGTGTACATACATGTTAAAGTGCTCTGGTGTGGATTTTTATGGAGTCAAGTTTTATGGAAAAAAAAAAAAGGCTCTTTAATGCAATCAATGAGTGTACATTATCTGTATGTCCTACAAGGCAAAGTGTTTTCCCAAATCCTCTGTGTTCAAAGTACATGGGCACAGTATCCAAGGCACTCAGGCTATTTGCGAATTAGAAAGAATATAATGAACGACTAAGATTCTGCCCCAAATTTTGGATATAACTTTGAATTCCTATTTATGTCTGAATCTTCACTTGGATTCATTAAAGCAAAGCACAATCCTCCTTAAATCTAGAAGTATGCCTTTTTAAACTTCCATATTCACTGGGAAAAGTTTCCAAGCAATGCAGCAGTTGCCTTGGGCTACGAAGCCTCAGCGCTCCACCAGCTAAGCCAATATTAATTCTAGATTGAAGGGGAAAACCAACAACAACACAAGACAAATCTGCTTCTGTCTGTACAGCCAGAGAAATAATATTTTTCTTTCAAGGGCTTTGGGCTCATGGGAAGCAGATAAAGACCCTTTCATATTATTCACAGTGACATTTTAAATAAAGTTTCAGCAGGAATAAAAATATCTAACTTTCTGGTTATTTCTTAGGCTATAAAAGCATTTCTATGATAAAGTCCTCTTAAACCAAACCTGTTAGAATAACACGAAGTACACCGAGAGGAACTAAAAATATATTCCAGGGTTACGTGAATGGAGTAAGCAGTTGAAAATGTCTACGTAGGAAATTTGGAAGATTAATCTAAGAGACTATTATGCTGGTTGAAAATGGTTTTTCAATTTAACTCTAAAATTAATCTTGCTTTTCGTTTTGATTTCACCAAAGTATACATTTAAGAGCTTTTGAGAGACGCCAAAGGTTACACATGTATTTAAAAATGTATAGATACCACCTCACTAGTTATTTTCAGTATTAGAAATGATCTCAAATAAAATGATTTCCCAATTAAAATGAAGCACTACTCTTAATTCTCCTAAGAAAACCCCACAACACAGAAAGAGTACAATCCTTGCTTTGGACACTTAGCAGCAAGTTAATGTGCAAAAATAGGCAGATTCTGAGATCCCTTAATGCCAAAATCTACTTGATTATTTTTCCCTCTCATCATCTTGCTGACATAGAGGATTAATCCTTGCTTGCTTCAGATTCAGAATAATATTCTTAGATTTTGCATATTGTGTGAGTATATACCATTGAAGCTGATACTGTGCTGTTGTTTCGTTTTGATTTTTCTAGTGGTGAGCCTACTATCAAAGAAATAAAATATTTTAAATTTCTCTATTAATTCTTCTTGTTATTAAATTATTCCATCCTTGTTAAAATTATGGTACTAGATTATTTAGGAACAGCAAATAAAATAGAGAAATCTGAATGAGCTACAAATAGACCTTTTAAAAATAAGTTTACATTTTTAAAATCATTTCTAGTTAAAAGAAGAATGAAAGCCACTCCATTTCATCTTCAGAAATTCTAAGGACAAAAGGATCAAAATCTTTACTTAAAATCTACATTGGGTCTTACCCTACTAATATGTAACTTTTAAGTCCTAAGAAAATTAAGAGCTCATTTAAACAGCTCATTACTTACACTTGCTTTTCTCTGATTAATGTGTGGCAAACTGATTCCATAGTTGGCTTTGACAGCAGCTCTGTGGCGGATGTTCTCAGGATCCTGCATGATTCTTACATCCAACCCTATCTTTCGCTGAAACAAAGAAACAATGAAACTTTCATGCTGGAAGAACAAAAATGCTTACTAACATTTTATATCCTCAAAGGAGTATAAAGTTCTTTGAAAATAATTATTTTAATGTAATTCCCACTGGAAAATATGTATCTATTATTTGGGTCTTTTATTTACGCTGCTAATTGGTCTCTTTTGTTCATGGAACAGGAACTTTCTGCAGATTTTCCTCCATGTGTCCTACTCCTCATACAAATGCATCCTTGGATGCTATTCATTTTCTCAGAAATAATGCTAGAAGCCAACCAAGGTGGACAAAGGACTAGAATACCTGGTCTTGATTTATTTTTAGCTTTCCAGGTCAAGGATTTTGCCAGTGAAATCTATACTACACACACACAGGTAGAGGGCTCCCTCGGTCTGTTAATGTGGCCACTTTCCTCAAGGGACGTTTACAGGTAAATCTCAGTTTGGACTTGGTAAATTTACCACAACAAATTTATTTACTTCGTCATGGAGATTTTGCTATCTGTAGGAAAAATGTATGCTTTCATTAGAAAAACTAAGAGCGTCACTTTGAGCCAGGTATTCCTCATTTTAAACAATTCAAATTAGTTATTGCTGATATGCTTAAATAGGCAGAAGAGTGGCCGTGGAAAGGAGCACTGGATAGGTGTCCAGAAACGTGGGTTCCAGTCTTGCTCTATCCTGAACTGCCTGCATGTGACCTTGGGAAGTCACTTCCTCTCTTTGGAAGTCAGTTTCTTTATCTGCAAAATGAACCACTTAGACTTGGTCTCTTGAATAAATATCCACCCCCGAACCTCCCTCCCCTGCTTTGGCATTCTACGATTTGATGCTAAAAGGCAACCTGACACTTAAGGAATATGGTGGTCCCAACAGTTTCTGAAGTCTTTGGTGACGTTTTTATTGTGATATAATTTACATACCATCAAATTCACCCCTTTAAAAGTATATAATTCAGTGGGTTTTAGCATATTCACAAAGTTGTACAACCCTCACCCCTATCTAATTCTAGAACATTTTCATCACCCCAAAAAGAAACCTCGTACCCATTAAGGATCACTCCCCATTCCCGCCTCCTCCCAGGCCCTGGCAACTGCTAATCTTTCTGTTTCTTGGATCTGCTCCTTTTGGACATTTCACATAAATGGAATCATATAGCATGTGGCCTTTGAGACTTTTTAAAAAGGAGGTGTTGTGAGCAATTAAAAAAACTGACTTCCTTTCAACTGAGTGTCTTAGTTCTGAGGATGATCTGATGCAATTGTCAAAATGGTTGTAGGAAGCAGATGGCTTAGTTCATCATCCAGGTATTTCTTTGATCTGAAGCATTCATAAGTGGCCCGTGCCATTCATAAGGTCAAAATGAAGGAGAAGACGACAAAAATACCGTGGAATGCATGCTGTCTAGATAAGTTATTTCGTAACACAGGCTCCAAATCTTCCTTTTATTTTTTCAATAGCAGTTTTTAAACCAAATCTCCAAATAACTGCACTCAACTGTCCACTTTATTTAACCCACACAGGGACACAGGTTGCAAATAAGGCATATCTCTTCCCTTCTCCTTGAAGTACATGTGATGACAAAAGCAATGTAGTGCCTAATTATACATGGCTTCCTTCCGTGGGGAGCCCCCACTCACAACACTATACCAGAGTTTTTCATGGAAGCTCGGTGCCTCTTTTATTGAAATTAAAACCTGCACATAATTTGTTCCTTCTTAATTAAACTTTCGGAATAATTTCCATTCTACCAAGGATTGGGAAATTGCTAATATGCATTATATTGACTGGATGTGGCTTCTGTAATTAGGGTGTTTTTCAAATATGTATTCTGTATACAGTTGACGGTAACAGCTTCATCTCTCATGTCTAAGCTCTGTTAGAACTTTTTAATTCAGGGATCATTGGTTCAGTGGACCTTAGCTGTTTTCTTGGTTTTCTTATGTTCCATCAACCTTGTGTGGCTCTTGGACTGATGGAGAGAGGAAATGATCAAATACAGAATCATTGTGAAAACTGGCATTAAAATCCGGTTGTTCTATGCTCATTTTTACATTTCTGTGGCACCAGTGTCCAGCACAGATATTTTTGGAAAGAAATCAAAATGTAAATAGGAATCCAACAGAAATTACAGCTTGTAATATCAATTCTGTAATAGTTGGCTTCTAAAGCAATGGGAAAGCTCCTTTAGAATTATTAAGATTCTAATCTTTACTATTTTGGCACGAAAGCATGTGTATACCAAAATAACAATATGTAGCACAAATGATTTAATTTCCCTTTATAAAACATATTGAAGGAGTCTATATTTAAGTAATATTAACATATCAAATGGTTCCACTGAAAATCACTAACAAATACGTTCATAACCTAAATTTGTCTTACAAACCATCTATAGAGATGTACAGGAAAATAGTTATAAGCATAAGTGATTTAAAAAACAAAATTAATCATCTCATTAAGCAGAAAAGCATGTTCTGGAAGATGATCATTTTTTACCAACAGTAAGATAAATATCAGAAATAATTTCAAAAATTTTCCTTAAATTGGTCAAGAAAAGACAGCAATTTATTTAATCTATCTTGAGTCACTAACCAATCTAAATTTTGTATTCTCTCCTTTTGATAGTAATTACAAGCAGATATATCAAATGTGACTCTCATTTAGACTTTGGTTTGTAAAAACAAAAGTTATTATCAGAGCCAATTACTGTTTTACCTACATGGCTGCACAGAAGCAGGGAGCTCAATTTTCATCTCATCAGTGATTTTGTGGTATTTATTTTATTACTATGCCCACAAAGCTATATAAGAAGGAAATAGCTTATGCTATTAAAACCAGGGTTTGAACACAAGAGGCTAAGGTTTCTTTTAGAAGAAGTTCTGAATTAAAAACACTAGGCAGCATGTAATGCCAACTCCCCAGACATGGGCAGACCATAAAATGACATACATCTGAGCGGTAGATCCCACACAGAGTAATCAAAATTGAAATGCTTCACAAACAAAGTTGAGACAGGCTATTTACTAAGTTACAGTATTATCAGCGTAACATTATTCTCAACAGTGTTTGCTACAAGTAATGCCTTCTAAAGTGTATATTGCTTAATATCATATTCCCACTGGTTAAAGACATCTGCTGTTTAATCTCAAAACCAGAAAACAGGAAAAAAGACAAACAATCCAGTCATCTTTAACACTCTGATTCTTTCAACCATTATATGTTTAATGGAAAGGATAATAGACACCAAGTTCTGGTTCAAGCCATATGATCTAGATTTCTCATTTGCAAAACTTGCTAATAATACCTACCTTCACGGAGTTGTTTGTTAAGTTTCTTGCAAATGATAAAGTACTACTCAGGAGCCTACTGGTCAAAAACTAATGACTGCAAAGGATTGAGACACTTCAAATACATAAAAATCTGTGTGTTCTTAATAATATTTCCCCTTCTCCCCCAAAAACCTAATTGATAAAATTGAGAAACAAATCTGAAAGTGGTAGATAAAAGAAAGAATCAAGTATTTATCCTGCTTTTCCTGAAGATCTATTTTTTTCAGATTCACCAAAGAGTTGCTAAGGGAAAGTTCTTCATAGAAGCTAATAAATGCAGAAGGAATGATAGAATTATAAAATCACTACTTTGCAGTCCCTAATGAAATGACATATTTAGGTAAACATCAATGGTTGCTAATACCATTAGGTGAAAGGTTGTGGGGAACTTTATAAAGAATAGATTGAGCTGGTGATAATTGGACTCACTGATCAATCTTCACCTCATTCAAAGAGGAAAAAGAAATTGCCTCTTGAGACATTATAAGAGGAACTATACAGCACCACTCATGAAATATTCCCACCAAAAAATGTTATTTGAATCTGATCAAGCTTTGAGAAAAAACTACCAGTTTACATGAAATACTAGGAACAGAGGAACACGTTAAATGACACCATGAGATTGCAACCAGCCAAATCCAGACTGTAGGGGAAAAGCCTATATGACAAATGAACTGGTTTCTTTAACCAATAAATGATATTTTTTAAATGAGAAAACTTTTATAAATAAAATGAGATGCACCTGCAGTGTGTGGACTTTGTTTACATCCTAATTTGCACAAACAACTGCAGAAAGACAATTTTAAGACAAATAGGGAAAACTGAACGTGGACTTGGAATTATATAATATTGATGCATTGTTGAATTTGTTAGGTGTGATAATACGTTTTTTTAAGACCTTATCTGAAGTATTTAAGGCTAAAATGATATGATGCCTGGGATTTGCTTTTGAACACTTTACCCAAAAAAAGCAGAGGGAATAGATGAAATAAAAGTGGTAAATTATGGGAACTGTTAAAGCTGGGTGACGGTTACATGGGTTGCATTCTATTTTTGTGTCTATTCCAAAATAAATTTTCTTAATAAAAAGTCATATGTGAAGTTAAAGTGTAATTAAAATGTAATTCTTGATGATTTAGTTTTTATTTCAACTCTAACATGCTATGCCCTACGATATCCTCTCTGACCTCCCGCTAGGGCTGGAGGGATCCACAATCAGAGCATCACCACCATGACAGGAGGGTGTTGTCAGAACCCAAGCGATTTACTTTAGTCCTAAAAGTGACAAGAGGGAGTGTGTGATGTTATCACTCCTTTACCAATGAAGATAAGTGACTTCTCAAGGTGACACAACCCAAAAGCGGAGAGTCAAGATTTGATTTATGTCTCTGACTCCAAAGTCTTTCCATCAAAACGCGCTGTCGCATTGTAAAGATGTGTTAGTCGATGCGCTCTTGATTCAACCTCCTATCTGTCCATCAGATCCTTTACTCTCTCTCCAATCCCCACTGGCACTGCTATGGCCTGTGCCCTCAGTGATTATTACGTGGACCCCTTAATGGCCCCTAAGATGGGTCTTCGGACCTCCAACCCATCCTCTGCATCACCTCCAGAACGACTGAGCCTCTGGCCACTAACTGAAATATGCTTTCACCTCTTTAA